AGGTGTACAAGAGGAGTTCCAGGAAGCTCAAAATTAAATTGATCTGCCCTGAAGACCAGCATGGATGTTACAAGGCGTTTTTGTTTCCAGCACACGGGGCATTCAGTAGCGCACCTCACATCGCCAGGCTTGCAGCTCAGACCTACAACAGATCTTATTCCAAGTCGCTTTAACTTCGTTTAAGTTCATCAGTAGACCTGAAAACTAACATCCGATTCCTGTGGATGCCGGATTTCTGCATTTTCGCTGGCGTGTCTCGTACCTTGAAGCACAGCGACATCCCACGGTGTTTGCTAGAGGTCGCTGACTGCCGTGGTCTTCGTCTTGCTGAGGCACGGATTTGAGGGGTGATGGGGGAGCCAATCATGCTGCGAGGACTCATCATGGCTTGCGGCTTGCGGGTTCTGCTCACCTTTGTCTGGGGCCTTCCGTAGCTCGTTTTGCTTGTGAATGCGATTGCAAGGAGCGAGGATCTGCTCCTTGTGTTTTGCACACTTGCCGAAAGTTGAAAAAATCTTGCCGGAGCCATGGCCAAGCCACCAGACCGCGTGGATACAGCGATTTGGCAGACGGCTGCTGCATCACGGGTACTCCTGGACAGCGTTCCCGGTGTCGTCAGCTTGCTGTCGTCATGGGCCACGGATGTTCTTCAGATGCCACTGAAGCTTGAGGCTTACGGGTCTGTAGTGACCGGCATAGCGGACACCTCTTCAGACATAGATGTGGTTTTGCTGTCGGACAGCCTGGAAGACGTTGCTGGCATCTTGGCAAGGCTCTATGATGCCCATGAGAGGCTGCCTCATTTTCACGTCGTGAGATTTCTGGAATCTGCACGTGCGCCGGTGCTCACGGTTGCTAGGGCAGACGGCTTAATGGTGGACATTACGGCGGGCAGCTGTCTTCCGGTCTACAACTCGCGGCTCCTGAAAGAGTACTGCGAGCTCGACCATCGTTTGCTACCGCTCGCATGTGCAATCAAACGATTCGCGAGAGTTGCTGGCGTTGTCGGAGCTGCCACCCACAACCTTTCAAGCTATGCTTGGTCCTTGATGGTAGTGTTCTACTTGCAGGCTGCTAATCTCAAGTGCTACCTGCCAAGTTCTGCCAGAAGCAGCAACTTGCCTTCGTTGCAGTCGGCGTGTAGAAGCTGTGAAGTCACCATCCAAGGGCGCAAGTTCGATGTTGGTTTCAAAAGGCTCACAGACTTTCCACCGCCAGATGCCGGACGCGTTCACGGCAGCGAGTCGCTCAGCTCCTTCCCTTGGCGGTCGCTGGCCCTTGGTTTTTTCAAGTTCTTCCTTGAGGACTTCGACTTGGATAAGGAGATCATTTCTGTCTGCTTCGGCTCCAGACAGTTTGTTGATGCCAGTACCACTGGGCCAGGCCCGCACATCCGAGACCCCTTTGACCCCGGCCGTGATCTTGGTGCCGTGCTGTCTGCTCCACGACGTGAAGCATTTCGCGAGGCATTGATGGTTGGGAGGAGGTTGTTGGAGGAGAAAGTCGCATTCGCCGGGTTGCTACAAGGAGATGCAGATCTTTGCTCCCCTGTGCAATGGGATACCCTGGTGCATTCGGAAGAGCTTCAGCATCACCGCGTCCAGCCTGGCGGCCATGCGCCCCGTGCAGCTCAGAGCAAATCGGGCGATCTGGAATTTGGCAGCACGGAGTTAGATGACTTTCAGAAACGTTCTATGCATGCCATAGCCCAAAAAGAGTCCGTGGTTGTTGCAGCTCCAACTTCTGCCGGCAAGACTGCTGTGGCCGAGTACGCGATGATGGTGGCCCTTCGCAATCACGGATCCGTGATGTTCTGCTCACCAACAAAAGCCCTCAGCAACCAGAAGTTTATCGATTTCCATGCAAACGCAAACTTTTCGAGGAGGGTCGGGCTTCTCACTGGAGACTCGTCCGTTGCACCTTCTTCGCCCATACTCGTTGCCACCACGGAAATTCTGCAGCTCGGTTTGCACATTGTGCTAGGTCAGTTTCTGCGGGATTGAGATGTTAGAGGCTCTTGCCGCGGCTTGGGTTCGTAGCTTGCCACACATACCAGGCCTGTCGGAGGTCCTGCCCTTGGACAGTGGACAGTGCTCACAAGTACTTGTAGGCATCAGGAAATCACAAGAAGAGACTGTCACAGTTGTTCTGCACGACCGAAGGGCGACCAAAGCCCAAGCAAGGCGATCAATGCTGTGCCGCCATCACAATGATTTCGCTCGCCTGCAGACGGTGGTCTTTGATGAAGTCCATTACATTGGAGACGTAGAGCGTGGAGCCGTCTGGGAGGACTGCATGATTTTACTTCCAGCGCACATCAATGTCGTATGCCTGTCTGCAACCGTTCCGAACTGCCTGGATTTGGCTGGATGGATATGTCAAACGAGGCATTGTGTGTGCCACTTGATTCTGAAGCTGTCGAGGCCGGTGCCCTTGCGCATCTTCGGGGTTGCAGATGTCACGAGCCTCTTGGTCGATGGGGACAATGCATTCTTAGAGGAGAACTTCGCAGCCTTGAAGTTAGATAGAAAGAGCGGAGAAGACATCTTTCAGGCCATTGCCGCAAATGCAAAGCTGACGCCCACGTTGGCCTTCATGTTCAGCAAGGTCGCGTGCGAGACCAATGCACTGGCTGTCGCGAGACGCCTGAACCAGGCGGAGATCATCGCCGACCGCATCTCAGAATACAGCGACGCCGGTCGGAAGCTGAAGGAGGCCATCAAGTTCTGGACTTCCAGAAAGATTCATCGCCTGCGCCCTGTCGTGTCCCAACTGCTCAGCATGGAGGCACGGCAGCGGATCCAAGATTTGGCCAAGGAAACCCTGTTGCATCTGCCCGAGGAGGACCGCAGCTTGCAGCAGGCTCGCGGTCAGATGTTCTTTTCTGACTGCTGTACTTGTGGTATATTGGTGGGCTGAGTAGTATCCCCCCCTGCATTTCTGCACTGCCGTACTATTGTGGAACCAGCAACTGGTCTTGAAAGCCACCAAAAGTTTATAACCCCAGGCAAAGCCAAGAAACCCTTGATATCCTCAATCTGGACCAAAGCATATTAACAACCGTGAATTCATATGGCTTTGTGTCCAAATCGAAAGCAACATAAAATACGCAGTGCAGTTTCTAACCCCCTATGTATGATTATGGATGCTTCTCAATTTGCTCGTTCCAGCACATATCATGCCCCTACGGAAGCCACGATTTTGTTGCCTTCTTGCCCAACTCTGCACCCCTAGCTTGGAGATCAACCCAGGAAGTTGCAGATCCTGATTACTTGCACCTACAATTCTAACACTCCATGCTTTCAGAATGCTGACCAGGTCAAGCCCGCACAACATCATGAATTCTACAACAACCTCGTCGAAACCCTGTTCCAATGTGCTAAAAAAGCCGTCGGTACATTTTCGTATTTCATGCCTGTGCGACTGCTCTCAAAACTCTAAACGCTAAACCCTTGTAGATCCAACTTACTAGCAAATGCGCCTTTAGTCATTAGTCTGGTTCAGTCATGCCCTATTGAGGGAGTCAGACATGGCCGCTGTATTGGCATTAGCCACGGACCAGGGCGCAAAGTATGCGCCGTGCAACATCGGGAAGGCGGAATATTTCGCCGGTGCCTAGTAGGAGAAATCCGTAGCACGGGAGCAACAACAGTGTGGCAGCATGGCTGTACTCATCGAGTGGCGACATTAGGATCTGGATAAGAATGACCCAAATGCCAGTCAACATCTGCAGGTCGAGATGCTTATGGACACGCTGCTCCCACTAGGGCTGGCAATACATCACAGTGGTCTTCTTGCTCCGCTGAAGGAGTTGGTGGAGCGACTCTGTGCTGAGGGCCTTGTGCTGCTGCTTTTTTGCACCGAGACCTGCGCGGTGGGATTGAACTTCCCCGCGAAGTCGGTGGCCTTCTGCTTCACAAAGAGCGGCTTGCTCAAGTGTGACGGGTGCAACATGCGCATGGTGCGCACTGGTGAGTACCAGCAAATGGCAGGAAGAGCAGGTCGCCGAGGACTTGACAAGCACGGCAACGTGTTGTTCTGCATGTCAAACCGGAAGGATGAAAGTGTTCAGAAAGCGAAAGCAAATGCACCACCCGGCATGTCCCAGATGATGAAGCAACTCATTCTCAACTCTGCCGAGCCTGTCATGAGTTCATACATGTTACGCTTCCCGCTCATGCTCAACTTGCTAAAGTTTGGGCATGCTGGCTACGTCAAATGGCTGTTTCTGCAGACTTTCCGCCAATTTCAGAGCCGCCAAGCTGCTGCCAGCATCGAGGAGCACAAGACCCAACGAGCTATGTTTGCAATTCTGGAAGCACTGGGTTTCTTGTCGCCCGAGCAGCGATTGACCACTTTGGGACGTGCAGTTGCAGGATTGTGGATAGGAGATCCACTCCTCATGGGCGTGCTGCTCCGCGACAAGGTGCTCGACCCATTCCCCGCACTGGAGCTTGTGTCGCTGCTGAGCGTTTTCACTGTCGAGCCCAAGTTTCGGAAGCACAAGGGAGCAGAGGAGGAACAGGAAGATGAGCAGAGTGAAGATGCGAACGATTTCTTGCATCAGTCTGATGACTCTTGTGACCCTGAAGCTGGACAGTTCATAGAAACAACGAATTTCTTGGTCACCAAAGTCTTGCGATCTGCGCGCCTGGTCTCCGATGCCTACGTAGGGGGTGGCCTCTTGAGCGCCGACAAGGGCACGCCTGAGGAGTATGTCAAGAACTGGCGCAAGGGCTGTCTGACTTACAAACAGTTCAACAGGCTTTTGACGGATGGGAAGAACATGGTCCTCGCAACTCGCATGTGGATAACGGGCAAGACTTTTTCGGAAGCTCTTCATGTCGCCAGAATGGACGCGGGCACTTTTGCCAAGGCCATTCGTAAGCTGGGCAAGTTCGTGCGAATGCTCATCCAGGCAGCTCTGAAGCTTGACAGGGGTACCTTTGCAGACAGCTTGCTGCTTGACTATTCTGGAAACTTGCAAGTCCATGAGCTGAACACCGAAGTCAACCACTCCACACCCGAAGCCGCAAATCTCAACCAAAGCCAGAAGCCTCAACTGGCATCCCCGAGTCAAGTCTGCGACACGTACCTGTAAGTAGATCTTCCAACTCCTCCACCCCCTCCTGCTGCCTACTGAGTTTGAGTTTTGCTGATGAAATCCTAAACTTGACGCCTTCGGATTCCCTCGACCTAAACCTGGAAACAGTTCATTCAATAATGGAGCACAACACAACATAATATAGTTATCCTATAGTACTATAGTCTACATATACATGGTTTTGTGTGCACACACACACGTATATATAGAGAGAGAGAGAGAGGCTATCTTATATTACTCTAACTTAACATTGTGTTGTAACATAGTATTACCAAACAGAACAGAATACAAGATGATATGGTGTATATAATATGCGCTAGGGATTTATTGTATAATGTACTTTTCTGTACCATGGCAGAATAGAAACAAAGATTACCTTTCTTAATGTAAAATAAAAAACGTAAGTAAGAGTGGTTGTCTATAAACATTATCCAAATTCTGCATAATCTTGATATATTATTCATAAACTCATATAGCAATACGAGTCTTTGTTATATAACGTTTGACTGGCTTGTAACACATTGCAGTATTACCAAAACTGGAGTTTACTATTGATGTAAGAGTTTGTTTTACCTCAATATGCATATCATGGCGAATTACTATGAAGATAAGATCGAATAATACAATGCTTGAGTCTAATCCAAGTCATGTCAATACGGTATGTTGCTTCCAACCTGTATATTGCTTCGAAGCCCATTTGTACGTTAAAGACTTGGGCCTCCAGCACGCCCCCTCCCCGCCACGCCCACGCTTCGCGAGCTCCCTGCAGCCCCGCACCCCCCTGCACCCCACCCAACCCACGTCCCGCAGGCCAAAAAAAACAAAGGCGAAAAAAAAATCTCCGCCCAGCAATAATCAAGTATTTCCGAAAATTAGTACCATTCAATAGGCAAGATAGACATCGGTAGATGCTGAGGCCTAAGGCATAAAACCCAAACCTTCTTGGCTGGGTGATTTGTCAAGAGAGTTGCAGCCAAGGTCTCGGAAGCTTTCATGCTTGATGCGTGGCTTACCTTTCTTATCTCCATTGCTGCTTAGAAACCTGGAAAGCTCTGCCGATGTTGATGGAGATGACGGAGAGCCCTTGTGGACAGCCTGTCCTGATGAGGTTGGCGCCAGGGTTGAGCTCAAGCCCTCGGACATCGGATTTTCACACCGCAGCTGCTCCGCTCACTTTCAGGATGGCCGAACAGTGCGGTCCACACTGACGGAGATCCTGGCGGGCAAGGTGTCGCCCTGTGACATTGAGGAGCTTCGGGTGTTCTGGCACCAGGGAATCTACTACACCCTCGGCAACCGCCGCTTATGTGTCTATCGCTTGCTTGAGCATTGCCGGCCGAACACCAAGATCTTGGTGAAGGTTGTCTCAGAGTCCGAAGCAGAAGCACGGGATTGGAAACCAGGCATGGCTTTGGCACCGGTGTTTTTCTATTCAAATCCTTTCAAACTGACCACAACAGAGCGGCATAGCTGCCTCCGAGGAAGGATAAGTTTACGTCGGGACGATGGAAGGGTGCTGTTGTACTGCTTCGGCACACGGGTGAGATCATCGGCAAGAGCCTGGCGCAGAGCACATTTAAGTTGCCTAGCGCAGAGGAGATCGAGAGCACTGCAAATGCCGTGGAGCCGCACCCGACATGCCCGTCGCCACTTGAGCAGCCGGGGGCCATTGGATACTGGCACCACTTGCAGCTCTGCTGGATCAGGAGTCATGATGCAATCTTACGAGTACGATCTTCCGAACAGACGGTTAATTTTGGGTGAGTCAGGTATTAGTTTGCTTTTGGAGCTTTGCAGAAGATCTAAGGCGGGCTGCATGCCAAGGAGACAACTCTCGAGTGGGCCACTTGCGAGGTGTGGTTCAGATTCCGGGCGCTCCGCAGAGCGTAGCCTGCAAAGCTGGGCCTCCGCGTCGGCTCTTGGATCCGTTAAGTCTGAGCGACGAGCAACTTGCAAGAATGGACATGGACTGGTCGCCTTGCACCGATCTTCGGTACGAGCAGCCGGCATGTGGAGAAGGCAACGGCAAACCTTGCACCAGGAAGGGATGCAGTGGCATTTTTGAGAAGACTGGCGAGCCATGCCAGTTTTGTCATACGCATCCTTGTGAAGTAATTGCTCGGTTTGAAGCCTTTCGAGGCTTCGCCAGGCGGGCTGCGAAGAAGAACCTTGGCAAACATGCCAACCGCCGAATGGGCTACTAATTAGTGATGTGGAGGCTGTCTTTGATTGGCATTCTGCAAAATTGCGAGAAAACCCCATACATGATGCGGAGGAAGGTCATAATTAGGATGCAGACGGAAGTCGGTACCGCATGTCTTGCTCCACAAAGTCAGAAGCATCCCCGTCCAATATACTACTAGCATTGATGCCGCTACTGCTGCTACTACTACTACTACCACCACCACCACCACCACCACCACCACTACTTCTACCGCCTGCCTAAGGCCCTTCAACCCTCATTCTGTCAACCCTGTCCAGCAGACGGTTCAGCGCAGGAACACCCGAAGCGAGGAAGGTCCCGGCCCCAGGAAAAAGAGAATGTGAGAAAGAGGTTGTGGTCGTGGGATCTTCATTCTAAGGACTCCTACTAAGAAGGTGTCCCTATTTGTGTGCGAGGGTTTCGTCCCCAGGGTTTGTGAGACTTGGCTTCTGTGCTGTAGGTTTCGGAGCCATGAGTTGTTGGGATCGGTAGCTCCATTCCTCTTGACCTACTACTATACGCGTGCTCCTCTAAACTATCAACAGCACCCAGCCTACAACTGTGACTGTTATCACGACGACGGCTATCACTACGACGACGCATCGACAACAACCACAGCAACCTCACTTGCAGCAGCTGCAGCAACAACAACAACAAAGACCACTCCTGCCCCGTTTTGTATTCAAAATATCCCCCCCATGTCCTATTGGGGCGTCAGAGGCCCAACCAGCAATGTGGCCGTCGTGTGCTGCCTGGGCTCGGCCAGAGCCTCGTGTGGAGCGAGAAAGATTCATTCAGCGCGGAATCATGGTCTTTAGGGCTTAGCGAGGGGACTTGGCCGGGCGAGCTCCAATCAAGCCTGCGTAAACAGGGGTTCATTGGCGAAGATTTAGGTTGTCGCTTTTGGCTTCGGGTTCATCCGGTGTGCTATGTCAAAGCTTGATGAAGGAGTTTGAACTTATTTCAGGTATTGGCCCCTCACCACGAATATCTTCATTTGAGGTTCAACCCACCAAGCTTAAACCCCCCTCACCACGGATATCTTCACTTGAGGTTCAACCCACCAAGCTTGGAGCCCTAACAAGCAAGCGCACATGCCGAAACGTACGGACGCACGGACACTCTCTCTCAGGTGCTCTTAAACATCATAGTTGCCTTAAGGTCGAAATCTCTGACGACCCACTCCTCAGAAACCGGAGCCCCGGGTTGTTTTCTACACGTTTGGGGGGTCGGGTTCAGGTGGTCTCTTCCTGCATCGGCTCCCTGATGTGTGAGAAGATCATGAAGGCCAACCTGCCATCTGCTTGAGCTTACTCCAAATAGGTCTTAAACCCAAGACCCTAACATCCGTTAAAGCTCCAAGCTCCAAGCCCCAAACTTTACCAACGCCCTAACACCCTGACCCTATTGTGCGAACACGTGCACATAGCCTCCCCCAACCATCAGCACTGAAAGTCAGCTGGGATGGAGCTCAACTCTTTGGATCGGATTTCTTCGACTCATCCGTAATTACAGTCGTGCACTGCACAGTTAAACACGTAGATCTGTATATACATATATGTACAGCATGTATATGTGCGTGTGTGTGTGTGTGCGTATCCATGCGCATATGCATGCATACGTGCCTCTGTACATAATTACATAATTACGTACATACATACATACATACATACGTACATACCTGCATACCTACATACCTACAT